CCGTCCTCACCCACGCCACCCCCGCCCGTCGCCCGCCCACCTCCACTCGCTGGCGGTACTCCGGCAGCAGCAGCAGGGACTGGTCTGACAGCAGGAAGCGCAGCCGCTCCATCTCCTTCTGGATCTGCGTTCGCTCCCGCAGCTTCAGGTACTGCGCAGACAGGTGGGAGCCCGTCAGCCCTCTCTGCTCAGCGGAAGACCACTGAACACAAGGGCTGGGGGCCGGAGAGGAGAAGCCCCTCCACATCACAGCTACCTGGGCAGAAAACCGGGGGCTGTGCACACACTGAGCCCCCCGGATTAGCTCCTCCAGCTTCCGGACCCGGAGCCCCCCCTCGACCACCGACACATCCTTTAGCTGCAGGTCATTGACGGGGTCGAGGGTGGGGGGTCCCAGCGGGCAGGCCTGAGCCAGTCGCAGCAGTTCCTGGACAGCAGTGGCCACGGCCGCCAGGGGAGGGTCCTTCCTGGAGGAGGGGCAGGTTCTGAGGTCCAGGGCAAGAGGCTCCTTTGCAGCAGGCACCCACCAGCCGGGGGAGTTGCTATCACATCCCCCGAGTCATAGTCCCCCTAGGGGAGCATCCCAAGCACACCACGCTGCTTCCTGGGGAAAGGGTCCCCCCAGCAGCTCTGACCTGAACTTTGGTTGCTGCCGCTTGCTGAAATCCTCCAAGATCTTCTCTCCACTCACCCGGAGCACCTTGATGGTGATGGCAGCCACATCTCCCGGCTGGAGCTTGGCCACAGTGTGGCCACAGGGCCCTGGAGAAAGCAGAGAGCAGGTCAGACTTGGCCATGGATCCCGGCACTGCTCACTTGCTGTCAGGAACACAGACCCCTGCCTCACTCGCCTTCGGGCAGGAACAGCTTGAATCCCAGGAGGTCGTCAGGGTGGGGCACATTTGGAGTGACCGGGACCCTGTGCTGCAGGCCTTGAGACATGGGCTGATCGCACAGGACCAGGGTGGTGAAGACTCTGCTGGTGGAGCTGGAGGAAACCTGGGGGAGGCAGACAGGCCGGGACACTGGGACACCAGGACATGAGGGGTGGACCTCACGGGAGGGACTGACGCCCACCCCGGGTAGGGATGGGGAGTAAGCATCGCAGAGCGCACAGCACGGAAGGGAACCGAGCCAAGAGATCCAGGAGGGCTTCTGGGGGGCCGGGGCAAAAGAAGTGGGCACTAAGGGGAGCACTGTGGCACCTGCACCCGGCCCAGCCAGGTGGGGAACAGAGCTAGGGCCCCTCACCCTCTGCACCTTACCTGCAGGATCACACCCAGTGCGTTGTGATGCTCCTGATTCTTCACCACCACCACCCGTCCCACCGAAAGAGATTTCAACCCATTCACAGACTCCAGGATGTGTCGCTGAAGGGCAGGGGTGCACATGCCACGCTGTGAGGAGCCGCCTCACTGGAACACCAGGATGCGCGGTGCCCAGCTCCCCACAGCTCTCGCCAGGCCTGCTCACCTGGATCATGTTCCGCGTCTCTACCAGCTCCTCCCCCCAGCCATAGTAGTCGGGCAGATCAGCCAGCTGGCCAGTCACGTCGGGCTCCTCCAGGGGCCCCAGCTTCTTGGTTAGTTCAGCAAGAGTCTGCTCGTGGGCCTGAGCACAGCGGGAGGCTGTGGCCTACGTCTCCGGCTCACCTTGGCCCACTGACTCCCAATGCCCCCTTCCCCACCCACCTGTCCAGCCTCCTCACCTTGCTGTCCTTGCGGGACGGGAACTCAGAGAAGCTCCTCTTCATCATGTCCTCCACCCTGAGGGCATCCACCCGCAGCAGGTTGAGGATCATAGTGTACGTGAGGCGGAACTGTGACTGCAGCTGGGACGGCTTCCCCTGGAGGAGCACAGCGGTCGGGACGGGACCTTCCCCTCCCGGCCAGCCCGGGCGCTCAGTCTCCCCGGCCTGCCTCACTCGCTCGCTCGCTCTGCCACCTGGGGCCTCAGACAAAGGTGAGGCAGCGAAGTGGAGCGGGCAGACTCAGGAAGGCCCGTCGTGCTGCAGGTTTGGGGCGGGAAGAAACTAGAGCAGGTGGGATCACATCTCTTCTGGGATCCGCTAGCTCCTAAGCTGGCTTCTCCCAGGCCAAGGAGAACAATCGGAAGAGCGGCTGAGGCAGCCAAGCAGGGGGCTGGAAGAGACAGGACAGGCAACCCCCGGGGCTCCCACTGCTCACCATCATCATGCGGTGCAGGTCGGCCATCTCGGGCACGCGGGCCTTGCAGAGCAGGACGACGGTGCCCGTGGGGTCCAGGCCCCTGCGGCCAGCACGGCCGGCCATCTGCACGTACTCCCCGGGGAGCAGGTCACGGAAGGCGGAGCCATCGTGCTTTCGCATGGAGTCGAACACCACGGTGCGGGCCGGCATGTTCACACCCATCGCAAAGGTCTCAGTGGCGAACAGCACCTGGGGAGGAAGTGAGGTCGGCGCCACGGGGGACGGGCAGGGTCTCTTCGGCTCCCAGCCAGCTATCGGTTTCCTCATTTCCCCACGTAGTTACCTGTTCCTTTCCTTTCGCCCCCATACCCCACTCCGCCCCTCTGCTGCAGTGATTCAGACACGGTCGACAAGCTTTTTTGTGGGAATACAGTACGTTACTCAGAGCATGTCTTGTTTTGTGTACACACAACTTACAATCCACACGAAGAACAGTCAGACATCTCATTACTTTTTTCTTTCTCTTGCTCTCTGCTCGTTCTCTTCTATCTTTGCCTCCACGTGGTGTCTGAGCATCCAGACACGTCAGAGTGGCTTAGCTATCGAGTACTACTTTTGGGGGGTGAGACAGGGTCTCACTGCATAGCCAGGTCCACTTCGAACGCGTGGCAGTTCTCCTGCCACAGCCTCCTGCGTGCTGGGATTACAGGCGTGGGTCACCTCAGCCAGCTCAGAGCCCCCGTTCTTGACCACTGTGCCACCCTGCCTAAGCCCTAAGGGGCACCCAGCTGGCATCCGGACCCCTCCCCGGGGTGTGCACCTTGACCAGGCCACGGCTGAACAGCATCTCGACAATCTCCTTGAGGATGGGCAGGACGCCGCTATGGTGCACGCCCAGGCCGCGGCGCAGGAGCTCGGACATGTGCAGGACCTGCGGGCACGGTGAGGTGGCCGTGGTCAGGACCAGGCTCACATACCCCCCACACCCTGTCCCCACAGACACACCTGGGGCAGCTGGCGGTCAGAGCCGCGGAGCCGCGCCAGGCAGCGCTGCAGGAAGAGATGGATCTCACTCTTCTCTGAGCTCGTGGTGAGGTCAAGCGAGGTGAGGCCCGAGGCCTGCTCATCACAGCGGCCCCGGGAAAAGGTGAACACCACCACGGGCAGCTGGGCCCGGGCACGCAGGGAGGCCAGCAGGGACAGGTACACTCCACGGTCCTTTGAAGGGGAGGAGGGGACAGAGGCGGACCAGAAGAAGTGAAGTAGTGTCAATCCATCAGGGCTCAGTGCTCAAGGGCAAGGGACCAGGGAAGAGGGCGGGGTGGAGATGCCCGTGTTGGCAGGACCCTCCCCACCCCTACCTGCGCAGGCCCGCCTTGGTGCGTGGGCTGCTTGGCCCCGAAGGTCTGCGCATGCTTGCTCATCCTCTCCTTCTTTGCCTCCACGGCCGCATAGTACCTGAGCAGAGGGTGGGCAGCCATGAGGCCCGGCTGGGCCCGGCCCAACTCCCCTGGCCGTGGGCTTACCCCTTGGTGTGGAAGGCCCCTCGCGAGTCCAGCAGTAGGAAGAGCTCCCCCTGGGTCTTGGGGCTGTTTCCTGTGAACAGATAGTGCTCCAGGGGGACGGGCCGCGTGAGTGTGCTGATCACGTAGATCTGACGGCGCTTCAGTCGCCTGGCGGCATGGAGGGAGACAGGAGCAGCTCGAGGTGGGCGTGTGTGGGGAAACCCCACCTGCACCCTTCTCCAGCTTCTGCCCCAACTTCGCAGAGCCTCTTCCGAGACCCAGAAGGAAGGCCAAACCACCCGCACCCCCTGCCTCGACACGCCAGCATCCTGGGCCTGCGGGATCCGGGGACCACCCAGGTGCCATGTGTTCGCCAGTCACATCCCCAAGGTCCGGCCCGGCCCTGTCCCAGCTCTAAGCAAAGCGCATTCAACCCCTCCTCCCCCAGGCACCCCAGGACACAGGTCTCACCCGATCCAGTCAGCGAACTCCAGGGCGTTGGGGACAGTGGCACTCAGGAGGATGATGGAGACGTGGTCAGGGAGCATGATGAGCACCTCCTCCCACACAACCCCGCGCTGGGCACAGGGGAGACAGGTCAGGAGAAGTGGGCAGGGTTCCACTGGGGGCAAAGGCGCACGGTGCTCAGGGTGTGCACCGTCGGGCCCCACCCTCACCTCAGCATCGTTGATGTAATGAACCTCATCGAAGATGACCCACTCCAGGTCCCGGATGACGTCCGAGCCACTGTACAGCATGGAGCTGCGGAGGAGAGCCGCGGGCTGACTCCCCACTCCGCCCTCACCCTCACCGGAACCCGGCCCCGCCCTCGCCGGAACCCCACCCCAAGCCCAGTGCTTCTCACCGAAGGATTTCCGTCGTCATGATGAGGCAGGAGGCCTCGGGGTGCAGCTGCACATCCCCCGTGAGCAGCCCCACATCCCCAAATGTGTTCCGGAAGTCCCGGAACTTCTGGTTGCTCAGGGCCTTGATGGGTGAGGTGTAGATGGTACTGGGAAGATAGCGAAAGTAGCTGGTCCCTCCACACACTCGTCACCCAGTGGCCGCTGGACCCAGCGGCGCCCTCCTGACACACCTCAGAGGCTCGGCGCCCCCTTTGCTGACGGCCTTCGTGTCCTCCTTCACAGTTTGACCTCACAAACATTCTGCCTCAGCCCTTCCTACACTTCCCAAGGTTATCTTTCCAACCTTCCTTCCCACCGTGGCTTCTCATTTCTCTCGGGGCTGCCTCAGTCCAGGTCCTGCACCTCCCATCCACAGGACGAGGTGGTGAGGCGGGGCAGGGGTACAGCCCAGAAATGATGCAGGAGACAGCGGGGCTGGCCGGGACTGGGACTCGGGGAAGACACCCACCGTGTCATGTGTTTCTGAGCAAGGGCAATGGCGTACTCGGCCACCACGGTCTTCCCTGCGGAGGTGTGGGCTGCGACGAAAACGGAGTCGTGCTTCTCCAGGTGCAGGATGGCCTGTTTCTGAAACACATCCGGCTCAAACGCCCACTGCGGGAGAGACACCGGTGGGGGCTGAATGAAGGAGAGGCTCTGCCCGGGCAGGGGCAGAGGGCAGGAGGGGCCGAGGCTGGGGCTCAGGGTTGTGGCCGCCTGGAAGGTTCTGGCCTGGGTGGGAGGAACAGAGACAGGTGGTACACGGGAGAGCAGGATGGGGACCCGAGCTGCCCAGGGATGGGCGACCACATGAGGATGGGACACAGTACCTGGAAGGCTGGGTGGGGAATGAGGCGGTAGAAGTCACCCACGGGGGAGGTGACGTCCACCGGCACGGCCCACTGCTCCTGCGGCAGCAGAGGCGGGGGAGGCTCCGGCAGGGCCGTGGCTGTGGCTGCTTCCTGGGGGA